CAAAGTAAGATTTCGGGCTCAAAATGTAATTTCTGGGTTGTGTGCATCGATACATCTTCAATGTGTATCGATGCACTCTCAAATAATGAACATAAAATGCCATTAGTGCATCGATGCATAAGGAGTGCATCGATGCACCCCCTTAAAATGAAAACATCGAAGGTCATTAGCACATCGATACATAAGAAGTGCATCGATGCACATGTTAAGGGATGCATCGATACATTGTAGAATGTACCGAAGCACTTCAATAAGAAATGGAATAAATCGTTATTTCAGTTTATGAAATGATAGATTAAAGTATTAAGTGGATACTGATAAGTATCAATACATGATTGTGTAGAAATTGACCGAAGGCAAAGTTCGGATAGGTTCACAGAGTAAGATACGCAAAGAAACAAGAGTATAAGAGTGTTCATCGAGACCAGGTGAGTACATGATAATAAGTGTACGTTATGTTAAGGAATTAAGACTTGCGATGAGTCTAATTCGCATATTATGTGATATGAGGACTAAAGCATAAACACGTAGTGATATGGTGTTAGATGTATAGTATATGAGTAAATGCATATGTCTAATTGTTGAAGGCATATTTATATGTGAACTATGTAAATGCATGTATTTATGATAATAGGTCATGTGATCATGAAAATATATGAAAGTAACATGACTCATATGTGTTTCTATTAGAATGTCATATTATATATTATGTGTGAAATGAATAATATAAATATATGTCAGTATAATAAGCTAGATTAAATTTATAATTAAATGAAGGGATTGTATGAGAACATGTATACGCGAACATGTGTTATGAGATAAGAATCATGGCTATGAACTATGTGAAAAGGAATACAAGTACAAGTGAAACGTTATGTGATAAATGAATGTGAATTATATGGAAATATGCTATGTGAAAGTGAACTATGTGCCTACGTGAATATGTTAAAAGATATAAAAAGTAATGCCCATGTCATGTGTTATGAGAGCTATAGGTATAGTTGGCATGCCAAGAGTCGAGGGTCTACGCGGTCCTTCGGGACAATTCTACGTGGTCCTTCAAGACATATATGTAATTTCGTGGAACATGTATGTGGTACTTCGGTACACTTATTTGGTCTATTGTATTATGTATATGGTTTTTAAGGAGGGGTCCTTCGGGACATAGTGGTCCTACGGGATAAATTCTACGCGCCCCTAGTTGGATTATACGAGCTGTGGTGACAGCATTGTGCACAACCTCTATGTACTCACATACCTTAAGTTCTCAATAGTGTGCATGGGCTTTAAAAAGGAAACATAATTTGATATAATGATATGTGTGTTTCTCTGGAAACGGTACATGTGATATGTGACATGTATAAGTGATAAGTTAGGATCATATGATAATGATGGTAACAAGTGCACATGTGTAATGGTGATATGAAATGCTATGTGATTATGTATGATATGATCATAGTAATTATTCATGTATTGTTGTGTTTTGAAGTTATAATATATGGTTGGTTTAATTGGTATGTAATTATGATGTGTATTATATGACATCTGCATGTATTTGTTAGTTTGCATTGTGCCCTTACATGTCTCACTAAGTCTATGACTTAGCGTGTAAGTGTCTTACACGTAGGTGTGAAAAAGTCAGAAGATCAAGCTTCGGATCAGCAGAGCATCATATCTCAGCACAAAGTTCAGATCAGAAAGATTTTTGTAAAGTATGCTTGTCATATAATTTCGTATGTTGGCATGTAACTAAGTTATTAAGTATGTACGCTCTGATGGGGTCTGTTAATGTTTTGACATGTTTCTGTAAAAGAATTTCTTCTATAGAATAGAAGTTTTAAATTTTCTATGGTTACTTTTATAAAGCATGTGCTTTGACTAGTCAATGTGACATCTCAGATTCGTATCCGGGTCGGATACGGGTTAGGGGTGTTACATTCTCCAATTGATAGTTTTTTCGGTTCTGATTTGTAACATTTTGTGCTCCGTTTTTAACTTATTACCTTTTTTACCGGTCACACCGTTTATTAACTTATTTTAGGCGTCTCATAGCAAAACTTCCCATTATAGGCAATTTGTTTTGTACGAGGCATCTCCAGCCAGTTCTGAATACATTACAAGGTTGACATTGTTGCCTCATCCGACTGGGGAAGCAAGAGAAGAAACTCAAGTTAAGATAGAGGGAATGCGCCAGGATATACTTTCAAGTCATATTGGATATCTAACGAATATGAAAACAAAAGCTTTATCGGCGTGCGGTTGCAACCAACGATGGAGAAAATTAAGAGTATTAAATTAAAAGTAATTTGTACAAATTAACTAATTTTTTGTTTATTTATTTTAAAATAAAAGATTCTCTTTTAATGATTAAAAAATGTCAATGTTGGAAAGCCACCATATAAATATACAATTATCATTTACGCTATATATCTTGAGAATATTTTAAAATAATATAAAAATAATACTACATCCATCCCAATAAAACTGTCTCTTATTAACTATTTTTTGGTCAACTTTTTTAACTTTGACTCTTTATTATTTAAAATTTATTATTGATAAAAATATGAAAATTATATTTTAAAAACTTTCAATCAAATAGTTTTGAAATATGTATTTTTATAAAATTTAATTTTTTAAAATATTTAAAATAATTTTGGTAAAAGTTTAAAATTTTTGGCTTTTCAAAAGTCAATAAGTGACAGTTTTAGTGGGACGAAAAGAGTATATATCTAAAAATATGTGTAAAATAATCTAGAGATTTTTAGTATTTGATATTACATCTAGAATTGTCTATAAAGATTCTCAACATTTATAAGATTAATAGCTAAAATGTTGACATGTATCAACAATCCAATAAATACTAAAATCTATAAATATAAGATATGTTTTATCATTGTTACTATAGTACGTAGTAAAAAGTGTGTTAGAGTAAGAGAATTCATAGGTAGAAAAGAAAAAATAATAATGGGGTAAGTTTGTTATATTGCAATTGTATTGTGTATTAATAAAAGTGTTACATTCTCTTATAATTATAAGTTTCCCAACTAATAGGGTGAGTAAGTGCACACCTTGAAATTTAAAATTTTTTCTGATAATTATATATTTTAATAGTTTTGTCTATACTAAAATTTTAGTTGTGACCACCCTTTATCAAAATTGACTGTAACATACTAAGAACACTTAATATTTTATTATTATTGTTCATTGTCTTAATGGTATGAACAATTTAATTTCTACCTTAAAAACTGGTGTTCGGATTGGAACTGAACTCAATGTGTTGAAGTAACATACTAAGAACACTTCATATTTTATTATTGTTGTTCATTATCTAAATGACATGAACAATTTAGTTTTTTCCTTAAAAATTAGTGTTCAGATTAGAACTGACTCAATGTGTTGAAGAAAAGCTCCCTGTGACGAATATGTTCGAGCCACTAAATGTCGGCACGAATTTTAGGATATCCCGGATAGTAATAAATGTGACCGAATCCATGAAAACACCGATTTTCTTCCTCGACATTACGACTCTCTCAGAATACCATAAAGATTAGCATACATCAATGTATACCACGAGGCAAGGTAAGTTGATGACCCCGGAACAACAGGTCGATCTGACGAGATATGACGACTGCATCCATTTGTGCTTACGATGACTACTTGATACATAGAATGAGCTCTCTTCACGCATTATTTCATATTCTTGACCGTTTTCCTTTGATGAAAAGACAAAATTCTCCCAAAAGAAATGACCATGAATATGCAGAATATGCAAAAGTGTCAATTTACGTAGTTGCAGAGGAGAATTCCAAGAGAAATGGTCATGAATATGCAAAAGTGTCAATTTGCGTAGCTGCATAGGAGAATTCAAGAAATGGTCATTTCTTATTTTTTACTTTTAGAGAAAATAACTTTAGTGACCGAAAATATCTTATAATATACAATTTTAATAAATTTTTTTTGGATTTGCGAAAATGACCAACAAATTTGCAACACGAACTCCAATTTCGTAACACAGGTTCTAAAATCGCAATGCGATTTTCCAAATTCGCAACGCGAATATGTAAATCGCAACTTGATTTTCTAAATTCGCAACACGGTTTTCCAAATTCGCAATGCGAATATGTAAATCGCAACATTAATTACCGATGTAGGTAAACAGTACTATCGCAACGCGATTTTTAAATTCGCAACGAGAATTTCAAATTCGCAACGCTAATTACCGATATAGGTAAACAGTATTATCGCAACGCGATTTTCAAATTCACAACACTAATTACCGATATAGGTTAACAGTACTATCGCAACGCGATTTACAAATTCGCAACGCTAATTACCGATATAGGTAAACATTGTTATCGCAACACGATTTTCAAATTCGCAACGCGATTTTCAAATTCGCAACTCTAATTATTGATATAGATAAACAGTACTATCGCAACGTAATTTTGGAAACTGTGTTGCGATTTACAAATTCACGTTGCGATTTTGGAAACTGTGTTGCGATTTACAAATTCGCAACGCGATTTTCAAATTCGCAACTCTAATTACCGATATAGGTAAATAGTACTATCGCAACGCGATTTTAGAAACTGTGTTGCGATTTTGGAAACTGTGTTTCGATTTATAAATTCGTGGAACCTGTGTTGTGAAATTAGAGTTTGCGTTGCGAATTTATTGGTCATTTTCACAAATCCAAAAAAAATTGGTTAAAATCGTATATTATAAGACATTTTCGATCACTGAAGTTATTTTCTCTTTCTTTTATATGTTTGGAAAATAGAGATTCATTCGTCGGTCAAAAATATTTATATTATTTCATTTAAATTTGAAAATGGAAAACGTTGGAATTAATAAAAAAAAATACAAATGTAAATGAAATTTAGTTTTCATATTTATGAATCAGTGTCTATACATTTAAGAAACCCAAACATAAAGTGATTGTAAGTTGTTCCAAGAGTATCCCAAAACTCTGCTAATCTAATAAGAAAATAGACAAATTTCTAATGATGAAAAATCTCCTCTAAACCTAAACCTCCGTAGTGTTCCCACAAATCACATAATCCAAGTTCAGAAAAAATGTCGCCGAAAACGTCTACACCGTCCGCAAACTTGAAATCCTGTGTCCCGTAATCTGGGAACTCCCGTTGTTGTCTCGCTTCCGCCTCCCACGGCGGCCTCAGAACCCACACAAGTACCCCTTGAGACCCCATTGGACAAATCGACGGCCGAGCTAGAAGTAGTAGTCGCCGCTGTAGTTGAAACCCCGTTGACGGTCGACGTAGAAGTAGTCGTCGTCGCTGCGGTTGAAACCCCATTGACGCCCGAGGTAGAAGTAGCCGTCGCCGCTGCAGTTGAAACCCCATTGACGGCCGAGGTAGAAGTACTCGTCGCTGCTGCCGTTGAAACCCATTGACGGCCGAGGTAGAAGAAGTCGCCGCCGTTTCTGTTTCACTTCCGCCTCCGGCTGCGGCGTGTTGATCGCAGATATCCGAGTGGGTGGAACCCTGGGGCATGTTGAGAATGGCCTTGTCGCCGTAAATAGCCGAGGCGGCCTTATCGTACGCCAGAGCGGCGTCGAGAGCAGTCGGGAAAGTGCCGAGCCAGAGCCTCTTCTCCTTGTTGGGTGCGCGTATCTCCGCCACCCATTTACCCCACGTCCGCTGCCGCACGCCTCTGTAACGGCAGTTCTGATTCTGCGGCCCTCCCTTACCCTTCATACAACCCTTCTTAGACCCCTTCGCCGGTGCCTTACGAGCCCTCTTCTCGTCGGGATTATCGATCCACTTCTTCAAAGTATCCTCCACCGACAACCCCCGACGCTTCCTTTTCCGGCAAGGACCCAAACCCTTATTCGGGTTTTGATTTTCCGTCGAACCCATCACCGATTTCAACCAAAACAAAAACAGGGCTTTCGATGCACGCCGCCGAGTTCTTGATTATCAGAGAAACAACACAACAAAACCCAGAAAACCAACCGCCAAGAACAGTCAAAAGCTTGAACGGAGCTCAGTATCACGAACGCTGTGAATTTGAAGAGAAGACCAGAAAGTTCTTTGAATCCAAAAAAAAAGGGAATTTGAAAGTGAATCTCCACTGGTGGGAACTAAGATATTTATACGCCTTTTTTTACGTTTATTTCATTTAAAATTTAGGACACGTGTCAGTATGGGAACTCAGTTCAAAGATTTTCTGTCACATTGAGACAGCCCCACGTGTCATTTAAAATGTTGGTCAATTTGTTTTTGTTGCCTACTATATTTAAATTTTTTTGTTCATATTTTAAAACTGATTCAATAATCAATTATATAAAAAATTGATATCTCAAGAGTTTATATATATTTCCGTATTTAATTTAATTTTACGTTATATTTTCAAAACGAAGTGGAGACACATTATAGTATAAACAAATAATATAAATAATCAAAATTAGAATAATTCTTATATAATTTCAAAATTTTATATATAAATTTGAATTTATCAACAAATATCAAGTATGAAATAATGTTTGATCATAAAATTTAAATTGATATCGTCGATCAACAAAGACGAAAAAGAAAAGTGATGAACAATAGGTGAACTTTAGTTGTGTAAATATATGCACAAATAATGATCATTACATATACATTTGTGAATATGGTTTGATATCAAACCAAATTGTAATTTTTTTAAGGCTTAATACAAAAATAAGTTTCCAAATTATATCTTTTTTCCCATTCAGGTGTTTAAATTTTTATTGTAAATTTAGGTGTCTGACGTTTCCAATGTTACCATTTAAGTGCCTCGATCGTAACAGACGTTAAAAACATTCCGTCAACCACTTAAAATGTGACATGTAGTGCTTTTATGAATTTTCAAAAATTGTATTAAAAAAACTTAAAATTATTATTACTTTAAAAAACCCGAAATATTTCTAAAATCTAAAAAAAAGTCCTAAAATCCTTAATGACTAAGCATCCATTCCACGCGTTGGTCGTTCACTACCATTGTTGCCCCCACCGACCATCTATCCATCCGTTGTTGACTATCTACCCATCGTCGATTGTCAATTGTTGCTTCCAACCCAAATCCCTAAACCACAACACATATCTATCTTAATCGATGTGTGAATGGTCAGAGGGTGATCGACGAGTGAGTGGTCGATGGGTGATTGGGTGGTCACTGATAGTGGTGATGGCCGAAGGGTGAATTGAAGGTCTTGGGGTATTTTATGAAAAATAGGAAAGGTGGGGTGTTTTTTGAAATTTATGATTTTTTAAGTTTTTTTTAAAGAAAGTAAAAAATAAGCCACATGCCAAAAAATGATTGGTTGACTTATTTTTAATGAATCTTTTAACATCCATTACATCTAGGCACTTAAACGATAACATTAGAAACGTTAGACACCTAAATAAAAAAAGAGGTATAGTTTAGGCTTTTATTTTTATATTAAGCCTTTTTAAAGATAAATCAAATTTAGGATGCTTAATGAGTTTATCAGATCATAAACACCTCAACTTGGTTCGGTTAAAATTCGATTGAAGCTCGACTCGAGACCTTAACGAGTTGAATTGAGTAAAGTTTAACTTGACTTGATAAGTTCTCCAGCAACTTGTTATTTTTTTTTTAATTTTTAGTAATTAACTTAAAAAATATTACATTGAAAAATTACTAATTTACTAATAGGTAATAAAAAATGATAAATTACTAATTTATTATTTTTAATAAAAAAATAAATTATTAATTAATTATTATTTTATTACTCCCAATTCCCAAATATTAAATCTTAATTATTATTTTAATGTATTTGTAGATTGTTATTTTAAACTTTAAAATTTAAAATTGCTTCATACACTCTTTTAATAATTTTTTGTTATATTTTTAAATTTATATTTTATATTAATCTTTATATAGTATTAATAGATTTTATCTATAGTTAAAAACCAAGGTAAAAATTTGATGAGCTTAACAAGCAATAAGTATTCAGTGAGGTGTTATTAGAGGTGCACAAAAAATCCGAATATCCGATTTTGCGTAAAAAATATCTGAAACCGGATTTGGGAAAAACTGATTTTTTTAAACCGGATCGGATATTTTAAAAACGGATAGTATAACCGGTTTGAGAAAAAATTGGACGACCGGATTTTTTACCGGATTAAAAACCGGTTTGAAAAAAAAGGATAAAAAACTGGTTTTTTATCCGAAAAAAATCCGGTCTGGGGTTTAAAAATTTGGATTACCGGATTAAAAACACGTTTTTTTAAAAAATCGATTTTTTTCAAACCAAAACCGGTTACACCGGTTACATCATCCGGCCCTCCAAACCGGTTATGATCAGAACCGGTTTTTTTATAAACTGGTTTTTTGGCTTAGTGAAAAAACCAGATCGATTTTTATCCGATCCGGATCGGATTTAAATCTGGCTATGTGGATCTCTAGGTGTTATCTTTCTTGAATATAGATATATTTCTTTTCCTTATTTTCTTTTTGTATAGTCTATAAGAAGGAAACATGTAATTGACTTTATTTTTATTTTGGAAAATATTACCAGCAATATTCTGATTCAGTTAACTACTATTTGCTGTAATGATTAATGCCATTTTCTCTTTATCTTTACCTTCTCATATGTTGAAGTCAAAAGTGGAAAACGAGCTTTACATTTTGTATAACTGTTTATTCTTCAGATCTTGCGATTATTCAGTGAATCTTCTGAAAGTATTGATGTCTTACAGGTAGATTTGGCTAAGGCAAAGAAACGTCTTTCTGCACGCAATAAACAGATGCATCAGTTGTGATATCTATCTGTTACATTGCGCCATATAATCTCCTTGTTAGATCAGATTGAGGGCATAGCTCAGGTTTGTACATTATTATGTATGTCATTAAAATGATATTTTCATGCTTTATCTTCATTAGGATTTGGTCACTTCACTTCTATCCGCACCTTCTTGTGTTCAAGCAATTAATCCAGTAAATCTGATGATCACCTAGTTTGTTTGTTACCTGGATCAGGTTCCTGCTCGTATTGAGAAGCTCATTTCAGATAAGCAGTTTTATGCTGCAGTTCAATTGCATATTCAGTCAGCATTGATGCTTGAGCGAAAGGGCCTTCAATCCGAACTGACGAAGTTGCAAGGTAATCTGTTCTATAAAGTTTTGGAGGATTTGCTTGCACGTCTTTACAATAAGGGTGAATACAGGTATTGTATCTGTTAAGGGCCTAAGTTTCCTTGTCATGTTCTTTTTGTGATGCATTGTCTCGTGACTCTCATCTATTGACATTGATTAGGAAAGAAAGAGATGTCTGATTAAACATGTTACCTGAAAGCATTTTCAGGAAAGATTTCCCTTTAACAAAACTTTTGGTCATTAAGCTGATTAAATTATGCAGCTTAGTTGCATCAGACCTGCATGAAAAGGATGACGAAGTGCCAAAAACCACTGCTGTTGCAATTGTTCAGGGATCATATAGACTGAGTTCAATGAATGGAGGGATCATATAGACTGTTGTAATATTTTTAATTTTTTATTTATGCGGCATTGCTATTACTTGTCTTCATGATGGCTTATCTATTTAAGGATTGCCAAAACCTATGAACCGCCAAAGATTGCGATCCACTGTTCATGAGATCATCACATCCGGGATTAAAGCCCATGCACACTTCATAAATTGTTCAAAGTCTGAAATTGACCAGGGCACTCGTACTGGTACCACCCATCTCCATTTTTTGAAGGGGAAGCTAGAAAGCTACCAATTATTAAAACAAAAGCATCAAAATGGGAAATCATTGGCTGGGACTCTGTTAGCAGTGAGCCCTATCTCCCCTGTGATGGCTCCTACAGGAAAAGCACAGGTTGCTGCAAAAGAGCTTCTTGATTCAATTTTGGACTCTCTTGTTCGGATATTTGGTGTGTCATTGAATAATTATTTTTACTCTCGGTTTCTTTCTATTTTATTTACTCTTTAATTAAAATCTGAAACTAAATTTCTGAGCTGTAATTGGTCAGGAAACCACGTTGTTGTTGGAGAGCTTATTGAGTCAAAGTCGTCTTCCCTGCAAAATGATATGAAGAATCTAAAGGCAATGCCAACAGATGGAAACCTTGATTCTGAAGCATCTCAAGTTACTGGAGGCTACAGTATTGGCTTTTCATTGTCAGTTTTACAGGTCATTTATCTTTTCTAGCGCTTTAATATTGACATAGTTTCTTTTAAGAACGGTGTCCCAGTAACTTCTTCTAGACTTTTTATTTCTTCAATTTGCAATTTTTTATCCAATTATGTGATACAGAGTGAATGCCAACAACTCATATGCGAGATTCTTCGAGCTACCCCTGAGGCTGCTTCAGCAGACGCTGCCGTACAAACTGCCAGGCTTGCAACCAAAGAAAAGAGGCAAGTAACTGAGTCTGTTGTGATAATACTGGGGAGGAAGAGATAAAGTAAGGATTAAGTTATAGTTTCAATTGGTCAATCTCTACTTTGATAACGTACTTTCATGTTTCACTTACCTGAAAAGTTCATTTTATTTATTTGTTATTATTATTTTTGAGGTGGGGGTGGGGTGGGACATTTTCTCCCATTTAAATCTCCTCTCATATTTAGGAAGGGGTGAGAAAGAGTAACTGCTTCAACAATATTTACTAGATCACTGAGAATAAGGCCTATTCATAATCTCGGCATGATGTTAATTGTAAAAAGAGAGATTGTAAATATTGATGATGTTGGTTTGGAGGAATTCAGAATTGTTATTTAGGATTTTCCCAGGAAGAGTTTGAATGTGACCTCATGGTGGTAGTGAAGTAATTATGATCTGGATAGCCGGACATTAGCTTCCTTCCTTTCATGGATACTGGCCTTCCATATTTTGATTCAGAGTTCAGCCTATGGGCTGTCGTAATT